ACATCTAGGATGCGGCATTTTTGCCGAATTTACTTTTGAGTCGACTTTAGTCAACTTCAATCGCCCAGGGTGTGTACCGCCATGGTAATATCCCTGACCGCCGTACCCCTGGTAGGATGCGGCATTTTAGCCGCAATGGCCACTGGATGTTGGGACGACGATGTTCGGGGTGCTGACTCCAAGCTGCCAGCTTTCGATGTATGCTCACCTTCTTACGACGTCTGCTGACCTGCGCGCGCACCGCATAGAGTAGCACGAAGAAATGATGGAATGTGGTGAGAGGGAAATGTGAGAGAGGGAATGTGGTGAGAGGGAGTGTGGTGAGAGGGAATGTGGTGAGAGGGAATGTGATGAGAGGGAGTGTGGTGAGAGGGAATGTGGTGAGAGGGAATGTGGTGAGAGGGAATGTGCTAAGAGGGAATGTGGTGAGAGGGAATGTGTGAGAGGGAATGTGGTGAGAGGGAATGTGTGAGGGAATGTGGTGAGAGGGAGATGTGTGAGAGGGAATGTGTGAGAGGGAATGTGGTGAGAGGGAATGTGGTGAGAGGGAATGTGGTGAGAGGGAATGTGGTGAGAGGGAATGTGGTGAGAGGGAATGTGGTGAGAGGGAATGTGGTGAGAGGGAATGTGGTGAGAGGGAATGTGGTAAAAGATGTGGCTGGACAACCGTTTGGGCCCCTTCTCTTCCAATCGCTGTACTTCTCTCCTTTCTTCCAACCCTCCCCCCCTTCCCTACCCTCCCCCTTTACCCTCCTCCTGCCGCCAGCGCACGTTCTGCTGGACTGTCAGAAGGCGTGGAGCAAAACGTTTGACGGCTGGGTGGTTGGTGGGGACTGCGACAATGCAAGCAACGTCACATGCGATGCCCAGGGCATGATAATTGATATGTGAGTGCACGTTTGTGAACGAGATGATAAAACCACGTGAGTGGATGGACCTTTGATACTTGAGAGATGTGAGTGCCGCACCTTTGTGGGAGACAGTACCAGCCATGTGTGTGGAACTCAGGTAGTCCTCGATGGACCTAGATGCGTGAAAAAAACAAGCAAACAAATAAACAAACAACAACAACCCTAAGCCCGAAAGTTTGAACCGTGGTTCATTTAGGTCAGTTCCACTTCGCCTCACTGCCCCCTCGGCTTTCCCTCTTCCAAAGAACAGCAGCAATTCACTAGTTTCTTCCCTTCCTAAGCGAGTAAAAACAGTCGGTGCATGCCATGGCTCGAAAAAAAAGCTTGAGGCGAGTGCGGCTTCACTCACCATTCCCCCCTTCCCACAATCGGTCCCCCCACCATCCCCAATCCCACTCGCATCTTCCCCCTCCGCCCTCCCGTACCTTCTGCAAGCCACTGCTCCACTCGCAGCTCATGCCTACTCGTAACTCCTTTCAGCTTCTTTCCCCGCTTTCCCCGACCTTCCCCCACCCCCCACCCCCCACCCCCTCTCCCCCCAAAACCCCCCAGCAACCCCAAAACCACTCGCCTCCTCTCCCCCATTCTTTTCCCCGCACCTCCCCGCGCAGCTCCTGGTCTTTACCCCACTCCCTGCTCCCACCTCTCTTTTGATGCCCTCCTTTGTCTCTCACTCTCTCCTCTTCTCTCATCCCTCACCCCTCTCTCCCTTCCACTTCCCTCGCTACTCACTCGCTCCCCACGATGCTGTTAGTAGCACAGCACCACTCTAGCAGCCCTGCTAAGGTGACGCCTGTGCAATTCGAGGTAAATTTTGAGTCGACTCAGAAGTCACCTCGCTCGCTCCTCACAATGCTGTTAGTAGCACAGCACCGCTCCAGCAGCCCTGCTAAGGCGATGCCTGCCTGTGCAATTCGAGGTGACTTTAGAGTTGACTCGAAAGTCACCTCGCTCGCTCCCCACGACCCTGCTAGTAGCACAGCACCACTCCAGCAGCCCTGCTAAGGTGATGTGATGCCTGTTCAAGTCCAAAGAAACCTATGATATACTTTGGGAATGACTATCTCATGCTGTTTCCCTTTTAATCACCTTGTGATTCTCCCAAGTTCCAAGAGAGCATGCATGCATGCAACGTGATTTCTCTCCATAACTCTAGCAACTGAACGCTCCCCCATTTTGATGTCCGCTCATCAGAGATATTTCCTACAAGAATTTAGACGGCGCAATCCCTGACTCCATCAGCAACCTCCAAAGCCTTGCCTCCTTGTGAGTGCTGCTCTTTTCTGGGTGGGCATGTAAGGCAATCACAAGTGAACATGTGAGGCGGCACAGGCACTCACACCTTGTTAGTTATTCTCCTTGGGCTGGGTGTGTGTTTCTGAAGTGCATCAAGATAGCCCTTGTCACCTTGTGAGTGAGTGCTTCTGAGCTTTCGTGCTTGCGAGCCGTGTTGTTTCATCCAAGGTTTCACATTCACTCCGAAGCTCATAAGTCCCGAGCTCGAAAGTTCTCATTTGGTCCCTCCTTCGAATGCAGGTGTTTTTGGAAGACTAACCTGACTGGCCCAATACCAACAACCATTGGCAACCTTCCAAACCTGACCAACTTGTGAGTTTCTCAACCAGACAGGCTCGACGGTTCTTTGCTCGTAATTTACGCTCATGTTCTCTTATATCCTATCACTTGATTGAACTTGTAAAATCATCAAATGTAGAACGATTTTTCACAGTCATGGGAAAGCTGGTCTCACACTTACTTATCGAATGTGTACAAGGCTGAGTTCAGCTGAGCTCGTCCTCTACACTACACAGTTATTGAATGTGCCAAGTGAATGTGCCAAATGTAGCTCGTGGCTTGAGTTGGTGCAGGCTCTTCCTGTCTGTCCTTTACATTACACAATTATTGAATGTGCCAAATGTAGCATGAAGCTTGACTTGAGTTGGTGCAGGCTCGTCCTGTCCTCTACACGAGCCAAGCCGAGCAGAGTCGAGCAAGTGGCAGATGGATCGTGAAATCACTTCCCGCTATGAAGGCGTGCCCCTCAAGTGTTGCGTCGATTCATTTGCTCTTTATGCATGCCCTCCGTGTTCATCTGCTCTCATCAGGCAATTGGTTTACAACAGCTTAACTGGCAGCATCCCTGCATCCATCGGCAATCTCCAGAGCCTTGATTACTTGTATGATTTATATGTTGATTCTGCTCCTTGTTTGGTGGACATGTGAGCCCCAGCCAGATACCACATGCTCCTTCCTTCTCAGTGGCATTCACGCTGGTCTTTATGTTTTTTCTACTCCAACCCAAAAGTAGAAAATTTGATGCAAGTAGTACTGCGGACTTTGCTCATGCATGCATGTCCCGGCAATGCAACTCTACCATCCTCGCTCTGCTATCTGAAGCATTGATATGCGTGCTATGCCTTCAGCCTGTCTTCCATCGAGCTGCCTTCCCTTTCAAGCTTCATCGAACTGCACTAGCCCGACATACACTGAGTTTTCTCCTCTCTTCTAGGCCTGTGGATAGAGGTGTCCCAACTCTCTTAGTGTCCCACCCAATCCAACTTCAAAACTCCATGTTCGCTGAGTGTAGAGGCATCGCGCTGCATCGAGCATTCTGTTGAATGCCTCTACACGTTACTCTTTCCAGACGCTGGGTCCTGCTTGCTCCTTTGCTCACCACCTGTTGCTTCTGTTGCCACAGTATGGTTGGTTGGCGGGATGGGAGGTTTTCCTCATACTCACAAACCTCCATTTTGCCTTTTACGCACTTGTTGCACCCTCTATTCGAGATTGCATGTGGCTGCTTGGAAACAAGCTGACAGGCTCTATACCAGCGACGTTTACCAACCTCTTGCTTCTGACCAGCTTGTGAGTTATTTGATCAGAAGAGCTTTAAAGTCTTACGAAGATTCTTTGGCTCACGTTTTGGCCACTTACGCCATTTTATTGTATCTCCCTGAACGGTCATATTCAAATGCAAATTCGCGTTTTCCCTCTGTTGTAGTTCGTCATGCGATGTGATGTGATGAGATGTGATATGATGTGACGTCATGGGATGAAATGTGGTGGATGAGATGTGATGTGATGAGATTTGAAGCAACGTTATTCCACACACCCTTTATTTCTTCCTACTCTCTTCAACTCTACCAGCAATGCAAGCCGTTGTCTTGTCCCACCTCCGCAACGTTCTCAATTATACTACCTTGCTAGTTCACCTTGTTGTATTGTACCGAGACTTTTGAGGCGCCTCAAAAGCCACCTCTGCAATGTTCTCAATGACACTATCTTGCATCACAAAAATCCTGCATCCGGAAAACCGATGAAAAAAGTTGCTTTGGAGTTTTGTCGAATGATTCTTGAACGACGTTTTTCGAACGCTTTTTTGAGAAAGTATAGGTTGCTTTCCAAATGCTTTCTCGAACGCTTTTCAAATGCTTCTCCAATGCTTTTCTGTTCAAACCTGCCAGGTGAACACCTTCGGAAGAAGTTTGGTACAAGTTTCCGCAGAGCAATTTCGAAGATCGGATCTCATTGCAATGTACTCTTTATGGAATTTCGGGCTCATTAAAATAAGCTTATGTAGGAGACTTGCACGACCTTATATGTAATTTAAAACTATGTTAAGTTGCCTCAATCTTGCATTCAAAATGAACAGTACATAAGCTTTGGTAAAAGCTGATAATTCCACCCTAAAAACGCACATAAAACAGCATCCTAAACCCTCTGTGCCTAGTCAGTTAGGTTGAGCTGCATCATCCTACGACCTGCTTAGCATGCTCCAGTACACTATGTCCACCGAACCCCATCTCTGGTGCTCTAGGTCGAGCGTGCCCCTGCGTCCACTGCTTCATTGCATGCTCTGCCCTCTCATGCGTCTGCTGCTCCGCCCCTGGCGCTCCCCAGTCATGCCTTTACTGCTGCATGCTCCAGTCATGCCTAACCTGCTGCCCCCCTTGTGCACTCCCCTCTATCTGCTCGTGCCTTTTCCGCTGCCCCCCCAACTCTCTCAACTCATGCCTTTTCTGCTGCACCCTCTTGCACTATCTGGTTGCCTTGCTGGTTGCCCACCCTTGGACACTCCTCACATTGTCTCTACTGCTGCCCCCCTTGCTGACTCCACGCTTTTGCCGCCCGTGCTACCCCCCATGCTGACTCTACTTTCTTGCCTGGCGTGCTGCCCCCCTTGCTGTCTCCACCAATGCCTCTACCTCCGTTTTGATGTCTCCTCGCAAGTGTGTGATGCCTATCCTGCTGCCCCCCCTTGTAAACTCCACTCATGCCTCCTCTGCTGCCCCCCTTGTTTAGTCGCCCCATCGCTTGACCCTCTTGCCTCCCCGGCGTTTGCCACTCTTGTGTCTTTTGCCCCTCCTTCGCTCCTGGCCCCCCCCCTTCTCATCCTCATCCTCATCCTCTTCCTCCTCTTCCACTTCTTCCTCCTCTTCCTCTTCCCTCCTGCTTCCCTTGCCTCCGCCTCTTTTGTGCTTTCTGCCCTTCCTCCTCTCCTGCCCCCTATGATTTTCATCCTCCTGCTCCCCCTCCTCCTCCTCCTCCTCCTCATCCTCTTCCTCTTCCCCCCTGCTTCCTCTGATTTTCCCTCTCTTCTGCCTTCTGCCCTTCCTAAGCTCCCGCCCCCCCCGTTCCACATCCTCCTCCTCCTCTTCCTCATCCTCATCCTCTTCCTCCTCTTCCACTTCTTCCTCCTCTTCCTCTTCCCTCCTGCTTCCCTTGCCTCTGCCTCTTTTGTGCTTTCTGCCCTTCCTCCTCTCCTGCCCCCTATGATTTTCATCCTCCTGCTCCCCCTCCTCCTCCTCCCCACCCTCTTCCTCTTCCCCCCTGCCTCCCCTGAGTTTCCCTCTCTTCTGCCTTCTGCCCTTCCTAATCTCCCGCCCCCCCCGTTTCACATCCTCCTCCTCTTCCTCCTCCTCATCCTCTTGCTCATCCCTCTTGCCTCCCCTGCTTTTGCATCTCTTGTGCCTTTTGCTCTTCCTCCGCTCCTGCCCCCACTGTTCCTCCTCCTCCTCATCCTCCTCCTCCTCCTCCTCCTCCTCCTCCTCCTCCTCCTCCTCCTCGTCCTCGTCCTCGTCCTCGTCCTCCTCCTGATCCTCGTCATCCTCCTCGTCATCCGTCTTCAAGTCCTCCGCGTCGTACACCTCCTGCTCTTCCTCCTTCAAGTCCTTCTTCTCCTCGTCAGGCGCGGCCGTCCCCTTGAACGCCTCAAATCCTGACTCGTGAACATACAGGCCACGGTCGCCCCACTTGAAGCCCTGCACGACTGTGTTGTACACGGGGGTGTGGCGTGTGAAGTGGTCCTTGATAATCCACCGCACATTTCGGTGCAAACCCGTCATCCACTCGGTGTTCTTGCGGTGGGAGTTCGAGACGTTCCAGTCGGTCTTCTTAACCTTTGCCAAGCCCTGGTCAATCTGAAAAAGCGTAGCAAAGTATGGGAAAGAGGGGAAATAGAGACATATGTGGACACTCGCGTGTAGAGTTCACGGGCTGCGCAAATAGCCCCACATTCCAGTCTGGCGGGCAAGAATTGCAAGCAAAGCTAGAGCAAACTGACGGGAGAGCAATAATGCCTTACCACCATGATTGACCAGGCAATGTGGTAGGCTTTGACGCACACCCGGCGCCCGACACAGAGATTCCGAAATGCTTCCCGGACCGCATCTACAAACCGGCCGTTGGCAAACGGGAGCCCGTCTCTGCTGTTTCCCCACGAGCTGACCCGCTGATTCCCTCCTGCGCGCACGCAGGACAAGGCGGGGACGAAGATCATGCGCGACATGGTTAGGGGTTGTCCAAAGGGTATGGACGAAGTGGAGGGCGGTATAGAATGAATGGAGGGTTGGCTGGAGGGCAGTAGAGCAGGGAAGGGCGGGAGAGAAGGGGAGGGCAGGGGAGAGGGGGAGGGCAAGAGAGACATGGAGGGTGGGAGAGAAGGGGAGGGCTGAAGAGAAATGGAGGGAGGGAGAGAACGGGATGGCGGGAGGGAAGGGGAGAGCTGTAGATTAAAGGGGGGGCGGGAGAAGGGGAGAGTGGGAGAAGAACCAACGTTAAGCTGTCATGCGGATGTGACTGCACATGCGCTACAAGCCTGGGCAAGGAGAGCAGGTATGTAGTTGCGTGCCACAGTGGGGATGCATTAGGGTAAGTTGTTCATCATCGTCACGAGGGGTGCACGAGCAGATGAAATGAATGGTGAAGTAAAACAGTGACGCGCGTACTCACTCGGTTGGTATTTTCTCCACATCTTCTTCTTCTTGGTGCCCATCCAGAGATCGGCTGCACGCAGGCCTTGCACATTCTTGCCGAAAGTTACAAGCACTCTGCGCTTGAGGTGGAAGCCACGATCGTTCTTCCATGACGTCCAAGCGCGTTTGAAGCCGTCGACAATGTTTTTGTCTTCCATAGCCTCTCGCAGCTGCATCAGCTTAATTATGTGCGTCTCGCTGATAACCTGATACAAAACCTGAAGGCGGTGTTCGAGCGTTGGGTAGAAGTCAATGGCATCGTCTGGCCATTCTAGGCACATCCGGTCCCGCCCCACGGCGAAATTAACCTATGGCGGACGGGTGGATTGGAAACGTAAAATTGAGTGATGCCTCCGAATGAAGGGCGGAATTCAGAGGTTGAGAGAGAGGGCTGTTGCCATCACTGCGCCGCATGGCTCCCATACCAACAACAGCACCATGAACATGGGCTCTGGAAGAGGTGGGGGAGGGATGGGAGAGAGGGTGCAGGGAGAGGAAGGATAGCTGCTATGGTGAGCTATCACTCCGCCGCATGACACCCACCCCACCACCAGCACCATGAACAGGAGCTCTGGTTGAGGTAGGGGAGCGATGGTAGAGTGAGAGGGGAGAGAGAGGGGATAAAATAGTCAGAGCAAAAGACGGGAGAGTAGGCAGAGTGAGAGGGCACCGTACGCCCAGCGCGAGGGTTCATGTTCTCCTCGTACGAGGAGTCTCAACTTCCACTGCAGCCACCCCCCTGCACGCTACGCCGCATGCCACACGCGTGACCAGCAGCACCTTTTACGGTGGCTCTGGACGAGGAGGGAGAGGGACGGGATAGAGAGGGGAGGGAGGAGCGGCAGACAGAAAGGGGGCCGCATGGGGTTGACGGATACGGCTTCCTCTATTCCTTGCGTCGCATGACACCCACACCACCACCAGCACCAGGAACAGGGGCTCTCGCAGAGGGAGGGGAGGGATGGGAGAGAGAGGGGTGTGAGATGAAGGATGACTGCTATGCTTAGCTATCCCTCCGCCGCATAACACCCACACCACCCCCAGCACCATGAACATGGGCTCTCGAAGAGGGAGGGGAGGGATGGGAGAGAGGGTGCAGGGAGAGGAAGGATAGCTGCTATGGTGAGCTATCACTCTGCCGTATGACACCCACCCCACCACCAGCACCATGAACAGGAGTTCTGGTTGAGGTAGGGGAGCGATGGTCGAGTGAGAGGGGAGAGAGAGGGGATTAAATAGTCAGAGCAAAAGATGGGAGAGTAGGCAGAGTGAAAGGGCACCGTACGCCCAGCGCGAGGGTTCCTGTTCTCCTCGTACGAGGAGTCTCAACTTCCACTGCAGCCACCCCCCTGCACGCTACGCCGCATGCCACACGCGTGACCAGCAGCACCTTTTACAGTGGCTCTGGACGAGGAGGGAGAGGGACGGGATAGAGAGGGGAGGGAGGAGCGGCGGACAGAAAGGGGGCCGCGTGGGGTTGACGGATACGGCTTCCTCTATTCCCTCCGCTGCATGACACCCACACCACCCCCAGCACCATGAACAGGGGCTCTTGCAGAGGGAGGGGAGGGATGGGAGAGAGAGGGGAGTGAGATGAAGGATGACTGCTATGCTTAGCTATCCCTCTGCCGCATGACACCCACACCACCCCCAGCACCATGAACATGGGCTCTCGCAGAGGGAGGGGAGGGATGGGAGAGAGAGGGGAGTGAGATGAAGGATGACTGCTATGCTTAGCTATCCCTCCGCCGCATGACACCCACACCACCCCCAGCACCATGAACATGGGCTCTCGCAGAGGGAGGGGAGGGATGGGAGAGAGGGGGGAGGGATGGGAAGGATAACTGCTGCGATTTACGATCACTCTGCCGCATGACACCCACCCCACCACCAGCACCATGAACAGGAGCTCTGGTTGAGGTAGGGGAGCGATGGTAGAGTGAGAGGGGAGAGAGAGGGGATTAAATAGTCAGAGCGAAAGACGGGAGAGTAGGCAGAGTGAGAGGGCACCGTACGCCCAGCGCGAGGGTTCATGTTCTCCTCGTACGAGGAGTCTCAACTTCCACTGCAGCCACCCCCCTGCACGCTACGCCGCATGCCACACGCGTGACCAGCAGCACCCTTTACAGTGGCTCTGGACGAGGAGGGAGAGGGACGGGATAGAGAGGGGAGGGAGGAGCGGCGGACAGAAAGGGGGCCGCATGGGGTTGACGGATACGGCTTCCTCTATTCCTTGCGCCGCATGACACCCACACCACCACCAGCACCAGGAACAGGGGCTCTCGCAGAGGGAGGGGAGGGATGCGAGAGAGAGGGAAGTGAGATGAAGGAAAACTGCTATGCTTAGCTATCCCTCCGCTGCATGACACCCACACCACCCCCAGCACCATCAACAGGGGCTCTCGCAGAGGGAGGGGAGGGATGGGAGAGAGAGGGAAGTGAGATGAAGGATAACTGCTATTCTTAGCTATCCCTCCGCCGCATGACACCCACACCACCACCAGCACCAGGAACAGGGGCTCTGGAAGAGCTAGGCGAGGGATGGGAGAGAGGGGGGAGGGATAGGAAGGATAACTGCTACAATGAGCTATCCTTGCGCCGCGTGCCACCCACACCAGCACCAGCACCATGAACAGGGGCTCTGGTTTAGGGTGGGAAGGGATGGGAGAGAGGGGCCAATGGAGGATGGATAACTGCTATGGTGAGCTAGGGGTCGGGGGCAGAAGGTGAGAGCATCGTACGCCCAGCGCCACGTCCCTGAAGCGAGGCGTACTGGGAATGCCAATCCCACTGCAGACATGCCGCTATCACTGCGCATAATGCCACAAACACGCTTACCAGCAGCAAGAGGGGTTGAGAGAGAGAGCTGCAGCTATCACTGAGCCCCATGCCACACATTGTTTAACACTAAAACAATCTCACCTTCAGCAGCTTGGGTGTGGGCATCCCACGCGTTCGACGGACCGGTACGTCTACCGTCGCTGGGCTTTCTGGCGCCACGCCTGGATCGAGGCCCCCTATAGATGGGCCGCTCGACAGAGACGCTAGAGGAGGAGGCCTAGATGGAGGGGTGGAGGGCTTGACAGGTCCTTCTGATCCTGGCCTTGCCTTGACTGCAGCGATTTCGCGATCCCGCTGGGCAAGCTCTCGCATGAGCTGCTCCACAGTCCTGCCGCCAGCCACATCCGGCCGACTGGATGCGCCAGGTGTGCCCATGCTCTCTCCCCTCCCCTCCTTAGTCGCCGGATCCATTTTCTCGTCCCCCCCTTCTCCCCTGCTCTCCCGTACATCCCACATGGAGCCTTCCACACCGCCGCCACATTCACCCAAGGCATTCGCCCACACACCTCCTCCCACACCGTCATTCGCTGCTGCAGCTGCCGAGGGTTCGTGCCGCTTTGTTGCCCCCTCGTTTTTCACATGAACCGCGCGACCCCCCATATGGTTGGGGGGCGGGTCCGTCGCTTCCCTGCCAAACCGCGCTGACCCCCAAGCCATCTGATCTCCCTTCCCAGCCGAACCCATCGGATCGCGTAACGCAGCGTACGGGTCCGCGGCTTGCCGATCATGAGAGCTTGATGTACATCGTATCCCCATGGACTCGTAAAAATTCAACTCCCGCTTCGCCTTGCTATGCACACCCACAATTTTAGCTTCGAATCGAGGTCTCTGGCGCTTGCCATGTGGTTTGGCACGACGCACACTCTGTTTACAGCTCTTCACCCGTCCCCTCTCCGATTTTTGCTTAGCGTTGCCCTTCTTGGGCTTCCGCACACTCCTCCTCTTCAAAGGCCGGGCCTCCTCCCCATCCTCGCTCTCCACCTCCAACTCCTCATCATCCTCGTCCTCCTCCTCCTCATCCTCGTCCTCGTATACCTCCTCACTCCCGGATGAGCTGCCCGACTCACTGTCGCTCGAATCTTCCTCGGAACCAGACGAGCTCGAAACGTGCACATTGGGGCCGTGCCGAGCTTGTCTCGCCTTATGGTCGCAACTGCCCGGATCCACAGCCTTGCGCCGTTGGTACGGAATCACAGCTTTACGTCCACCTTTCCCATCAGTCACTGCTGCAAGCTCGTCCTCATCATGATCGTTAACGCCACGGCATGCAGGCACGGCATGATCCTTCTCGTCGCCACCATCCGCATCCTGCGACTGCCTGCCCGAGGGACCGCCCTTAGCCGCGGCAGCCCTGCCGCCGTTGCGCATGCCGCCACCACGAGCTTCCGGCTCGGCATGATCCTTCTCGTCGCCACCATCCGCATCCTGCGAGCCCGAGGGACCGCCCTTGGCCGCGGCAGCCCTACCGCCGTTGCGCATGCCGCCACCACGAGCTTCCGGCTCGGCATGATCCCCCTCGTCGCCTCCATCCGCATCCTGCGACGGCCTGCCCGAGGGATCGGCCTTAGCCGCGGCAGCCCTGCCGCCGTTGCGCATGCCGCCACCACGAGCTTCCGGCTCGGCATGATCCTTCTCGTCGCCACCATCCGCATCCTGCGAGTGCCTGCCCGAGGGACCGTCCTTAGCCGCGGCAGCCCTGCCGTCGTTGCGCATGCCGCCACCACGAGCTTCCGGCTCGGGATGATCCTTCTCGTCGCCACCATCCGCATCCTGCGAGCCCGAGGGACCGCCCTTGGTCGCGGCAGCCCTGCCGCCGGTGCGCTTTCTGCCACCACGAGCTTCCGACTCGGCATGATCCCCCTTGTCGCCTCCATCCGCATCCTGCGCCGGCCTGCCCAAGGGATCGGCCTTAGCCGCGGCAGCCCTGCCGCCGTTGCGCTTTCCGCCACCACGGGTAGTGACCGGCTCGGCATGATCCCCCTCGTCGCCCCCATCCGCATCCTGCAAGCCCGAGGGACCGCCCTTGGCCGCGGCAGCCCTGCTGCCGTTGCGCTTTCCGCCACCACGAGCTTCCGGCTCGGCATGATCCCCCTCGTCGCCTCCATCCGCATCCTGCGCCGGCCTGCCCGAGGGATCGGCCTGAGCCGCGGCAGCCCTGCCGCCGTTGCGCTTTCCGCCACCACGGGTAGTGACCGGCTCGGCATGATCCCCCTCGTCGCCCCCATCCGCATCCTGCGACTGCCTGCCCGAGGGACCGCCCTTGGCCGCGGCAGCCCTGCCGCCGTTGCGCTTTCCGCCACCACGAGCGCGTTGGCCTGCCGTCCCATCTGCGAAGGCGGACATTACAGGTACATAAGAAATACTGTGCACACATTATCTTATTGGCTGGAAGTTGCAGCATGACATGCGGCGTCATTGTAATGAGTAACGTGCAAAATATAAACCGTCGATATCACACCCACAGCGTACCTAAGCTGTCAAGTCCCCCGTCTTTGCCCTCCTCGCCGCCTTCAGACGCAGGCGTTTCCTCACGATGTGAACGAGTGCCTCTTTTTCTTGGACGGTGCTTACGCCCCCCCCAGTTGTCACGCTTGTCCGCTGACGCTGATGTGGAAACACAATTGGAGAGACGATAACCTCCAACAGGTCACACACGACTAGAAGCATCGTTTCATGCATACAAGTAGAATATTCCGCATCTGCGACCATAAACACGTACCTTTCTGGCCGCCTTTGGGAACGAGATCATCTAAGCCCTTCACGCGCTTATCCCTTGGTTTCGGAGGGGATGATATGCCCTTTTTTGCGTATGGCTCAACATCGCAGTCGCTATTCGATTCGTCACCGGATGACGAGACACGTCTGGAATCAACAACATCTCGCGCCGTCGACGCATTATTTTTGCGATACTCGTTTACGATCTCGGCCGTCTTATCTGCTGTTACTAACTCCGCAAAATTTGTTTCGTCGGGGGTTTTAGTCGAATCAGCCAGTACGATCGCCCCCTCGGGCCCCTTCATTGTCTGACTTCCTTGTTACGATGTCTAGCTTTCCATTCACGCAGTACTATGAGGTTGCGGGTTGTGCTACCGCGAAGAACCTGACAGTAGTCTACGAGCATAAAAAATTGGTTGAGGAGGGAGAGGGACGAGGCAAAGTCTGGGGCCTAGAGCAGACGATCGTCACAGCTGGAGGCATGCAAGGGGAGCACGGAGGTGATGAGGGTTTGAGTGTTTCCTGCTATGGTGCACGTTGCGACTGCCAGGTCCCCCTTTTCCGCCAACAACCAATTGCCTGGTGGTTGAGGTGTATAAAGGAAAAAAATGCAGCACTGCCGTGTTAAGATTCCGTGGGACCTAACGTGCTTAATTGAGTATCAGTCCACAAGCGGCAGGGTGGGCTTCTTTTTGTTAAACCCGACAGTCAAATGCGCTAGTGTATCTGAGTTTGCGAGGGTCATAATTATTCTGCTCGGGTTGTCGCACTGTTTACAATGAAGTGCCTCGCGTGCCACACAAACCTACACAAGCTGCACATCAAGAGTCACATAGGGTCTGCGGAGAAACGGCGACGCTCGATCGCAGCAAGTCGTACAGCGATGCGACAGGTCGACACGAAGCCGTTGCGGCACGCCTGCGATAAAAACGCAGACTCAAAAGTTCCTTGTGTGTGGTTGCGACTGGTTCGCAAATCAGGGAGATTCCCATACGTGGCATAGCGTGGAGTCGAGTGGAATGGCGCAGGGCGGGGCACGTAATGGCACATTAGTTTGCAAAGCCTCAATAGTGTGGTGTACGTACATGATAAAAATAGAATTAGAGGGTTATGGAGTTGTAAGGAAAATCTCGTTTTCCTTACTTCGCATCCCTGCTCAACGCGTACATCACTGTAGCACCTCAGTCAGCACCGTTACCACTCGCATCGACAATCCGCCCGCCACTTTCGCACGTCGCACCCCGACCTCACGGCTCGGCAGTAACCCGCGCTCCGGACCTTCGCCTCGACATTTTCCCAACCTCAGTGCAAGGCCTGTCGCGCGACAACCACAGTCCATTACCGTTACCACTGTGGTTTCGCTATATAACCTTTCGCTCATACCTTCGCTCAGTTGTACTTTTTTCCCGATAGTGCAATCCTCGTTCGCTCACTCAATTGCACTCGTAACAGGAGTCCCCCTAACCCATTAGCATAGTGACAACTATGCAACATAACAGTGTAAAACCAAACACCACCTTCACAGAACATGCACATAACGGTCTGTGGTGGAGCAGTCATTCTGATACATCGATTGATTAGTAAGTATGCATTATTTGATTGCTGCCTGGTCGTTATGCAACGCGTATGGGCATGTCTCCTCTCATGCCAATTGAGGTGCAATAATAATAGAGCCAGACACAAACTCCCCGTATGGGGCATGGCTGCTCTCATGCCATACAGGGCAACCTTTATGCAGGGACCCAAGAGCATGCTGTGTTGTATCTTCTAGGTTCATGCTGGAACGGAGTTGAGAAACCCCTGCTGTTCTACCCACTAGAGTTGTGGGGACATGCAGGTATGTTTTGCAACATCACACTGACCCATTGTGTATTGTTTGCATACATGTCAAGCAGGAACGCCAGTGACAAACACTTCCCTACGGGTAGTGTTCTCTAGACATGGAGGACTGGTTGTGGCCAACACTCTCATTTGGCCACACTTGTTGTCAAGTCATGCAGGACTGATTCAAGGCCTCTCCATTGCGCTTTGTGTCATGTTTGTTGGCATATCAAGCTGGCAGGACGGATGAACAAACAATTCCGTATTGATCTTGTCCTCATTCCCCCATGCTACCCGCTTCCTTGTTCTTCACTCACACACTTATTCCTCCCACGTACCCGCCTCACTCCCTCCTGCTTCCCGCCTCATTACCTCTGCTTCCCGCCTCATGTCCCCTCGCTTCCGGCCTCATCCCCCCTTGCTACCCACCCCATTCCCCCTTGCTTCCCACCCCATTCTTCACTGCGACCCTCCTCATTCTCCCTTGATACCCTCCCCATTCCCCCTTGCTTCAGGCCTCATCCCCCCTTGCTTCGGGCCTCATACTCCCTTGCTACCTCCCTCATTCCCCCTTGCTTCAGAGCCGCGTCCCCCTTGCTTCCCGCCTCATTCTCCCTTGCGACCCCCCTCATTCCCTCTGCTTCCCGCCTCATGTCCCCTCGCTTCCGGCCTCATTCCCCCCTGCTACCCACCCCATTTCCCCTTGCTTCCCACCCCATTCTTCACTGCTACCCGCCTCATTCTCCCTTGCTTCAGGCCCCATTCCCCCTTGCTTCGGGCCTCATTCCCCCATGCTTCCCGCCTCATTCTTGCTTGCTACCCGCCCCATTACCAGCTTTTCACTGCCGCATGCCCCACCTCCAACCTCCAACATTGTTTTTGCCCGAAAATACACAGACCACTTCCTCAAATCGTGACGGTACTGACGGCGCCAATGGAGTGGCGTCCCTACAAGCTCACACGCCGGTAGTTTATGGAAACCATCCTCGACCAACGTGTGCATCACACGCATCGTGAACACACCACTGTCATTCTCATTTGCCTGCATGGGTATCTGGACAATCACAGGGTGCGTGAGCGCGTGGTGAGGGCCGGGACAGGAGTGGGGTTTTGGTGTGGAAATTGCGTGCAGGGAAAGGGAGATGCGATTGTTTCAAAGCTCGTACACACAAGGCAACAGCACTCACCGTGACCTGCCTTAGTGGGATGCTCGCCGCCCATGCATCTGCGTTCGACTCAGTGATCCATGCACAGTATCTTATCACCTCGTTTCGTAAGTACCTGCACACCGGGAGACATAGATTCAATGCTATCGTAACCCCGAACTTCTGTACGTGACAATAGCAGACTGCCATTAAAAAGAGAGTACCTTCGCAACGGGGCGTCGACACCGGCATGCGTGCCGTACGAGTCAGCGTGCCAGAGCACGCAGTTCATGGGAATCGGGTCGTCGGGCCTCGGGATGCGCTCGATCACGATCAGGCTCCAGTGACTCCTAAGGCAGACATGAGGTCTAACATCAGTAACGCCGACGTTAGACTACCGAAATACATATGGTGCTACGGCTAGACGCGACGACTACTCACTCGGTATTTATCGGAACGAGTACATATGTGAAATCAAAAATACCCAGGCCGAAAGTATAGGCGTTTTCACGCCGCGAAATATCCTTCTTAGCATATTCCCAGAAATATGATCCACTGTAAAGCCATTTGTTGCAGTCGCGACCGTGTTCGTACTGCAGCATCCTGCGCACGCGCATATTTGCGACAAAGGAAGCGCATGAGATAACCGTGACGAATCTGGCCTTATGATTTCCTAACCGTGATACTCACACACCGAGCCAATCAATTACGATCCCGCTGACCCATTCACCGGGTCGTAGCCTGTCGGCGTGTTCCACGTTTATGTCGAGCCAGCCTCCGCCGTAGGGAAAGGGCATAGAAATCGGCTGAAAGGCCAGCTTACCATCTAAACACGGTAGAGCCATGGCTAGGACTTTGACGACCTCAAGATGCGTGTGGCACTAGGGATAATTTGGGGGACGAGCACCGAACTGGAGTTTGGGCTTCTGCAGTCACGACACTATGAGTCAAGAGCAGCCGCGTAGGGTTGTTACACTAGTCGTCAAATTTCACTAAAGGGTTTCGAGCCAGCCTGGTCCAAACAAGTTTCGCAATCGCATGAGCGATCGAGATTCGCCAAAGCGCCCCCACTTGTCGGGGCTTTGGCAATGGTCAGTGTGGTTTAACCTGCTGACTAGGCAGATACAGCCCCCTTTAACGGCCTTTCGGCCAATCAAACACCTCGCTGACGAGGTGGAACTGTGCTGTTTGGGGCTAGCAATTCCACGCGTCAGGCTATCATGTATGTGCCCTTGTACACGCACTGTGAAAGGGGCATGTTTACTTCGGTTATGGCTGGCATAAGTCCTCTCCTCAGTGTTCACACGTTCACGCTCCCATGTTCTGGGCGTTCCCGTGGTTGTCCCGTATAATGTGATGAACAGTGCTGGAAATCTACGGTCAGTTAGCTAAGGCATAACGATCTTCGCTGCTTGGTTAGGGTTCCGCGCCACACGCATGCCACAAATGTTGCGCGACGCAGCGTGATTGGTCGAAACACAGAGGGCTGTCAGAACCGATTTGTGGGGGAGTTGGCGGAAGTTTGGCAAACCAATCATCGGGCGTCAACCCTTGCAAACAAAAGATATTCTTGAGATTCTAGGTGTGAAGAATGGTCTGGTAGCAATAAAAGAGCAGATATATCGGTAAACTAGTTCAGGCGTTCTAATCCGCCACTTTTAG